CCTTATAATGTGGGTGTAAACTTATTTCAGGTGAGTACAAAATAAGAACGAGAATTTTCCGGAGCCTAGAATCTAAGAATCTGCCTATCAAAAAAAAATCTTAGACCTAAATTTTTACAATATTTTTTATGGAAAAATTCTAAGCATTGAGTTTGAAGATCCAATTGTATGTGAATTTTTTTCTAACGAAGACCCAAAGGTCTGTGAATTTTTTTCTATAGAAACAAGTTAAAAAGTATCAGTCGGTATTGCCACCCGATATATACCCTCAGCCTATATTCGATTATTAAATATATTTTGACTAGTGTTAAGATTATTCAAACGTTTGACCTCCATGGAGCAGGTCCCGAAGGAATGGGCCAATATTGCCCATTTCCTATCGGACCCAAAAACATGATATAATTATTGCGACAGATGTGCCAAGTCTAAATGGAATCGGATGTTAATTTGGCGTTTTATTAGCTTCCTGGGTACTCAAAATTTCAATATTTTGTGGGGGAGGTATACCAGAAGGAGTGGACGATGTATTCCTCCTTCCCACCAGACCTTGGGTAAATACAAATATTAGGATGTGTGAAATTTGAAGACAATCGGACTCTTACATCACATTTTATGATAGTTGTAATTATTCAAAATTTTGACCATTTGTGGGGGAGGTACTTGATGGAGTGGACTGATAATGTCGATTTTCACACCTGACCTAGCGCTGACGCGAATATTAGGATATACAAAGTTGGAGCCAAATCGGATTATCCTTTCTCTTTCTGTGCAAAAAATATATTTTTTTTTTTGAAAATTTCGACATTTTGTGGGGGAGGTACCAAAAGGAGTGAACGGTATTGTTCATCTCAACACCAGACTTGGGTTAATATAAATATTGGGATGTGTGAAATTTGAAGACAATCGGACTTTTACATCACATTTTATTATAGTTGTAATTATTCAAAATTTTGACCATTTGTGGGGGAGGTACTTGATGGAGTGGCCGATAATGTCGATTTCACACCTGACCTAGCGCTGACTCGAATATTAGGATATGCAAAGTTGGAGCAAAATCGGATTATCCTTTCTCTTTCTGTGCAAAAAATATATTTTTGAAAATTTCGATCTTTTGTGGGGAGGTACTAGAAGGAGTGGACCGATCTTGCCCATCTCCGAACTCGATCTAAGTTTGACAAAAATATTACGATGTACCCAATTTGGACCAGATCGGATACACCTTCGAGAGTTATCGTGCGCACCAGCCAGCCAGACAGATAGATCGACTCCAAATGTTCTGAAACGGATTAGGTCCAAAGAGACTTAGGGTCTAAAACCGTTATTTCGACTAGGCACGTTTTGGCCGTATCAAATGATATATACCTTCTGTAGCCATATGGCTGAGGGTATAAAAATCGAAGATTCAAGTATCTGTGAATTTTTTTCTATTGAAAAAAATCGAAGACCAAGGCTCGGAGAATTTTTTTCTCTAAAAAATATCTAGGACACAAGGCTCGGAGAATTTTTTTTCTCTAAAAAAAATTTAGGACCCACGGGTCTGAGAATTTTTTCTATTATGAAACCCAAGGGTCTGAGAATTTTTTAATAGAAAAAATATGAGGGACTGTGCATTTTTTCTAATCTGAGACCCAGGGTCGGTGAATTTTTTCTATAGAAAAAAATCTGAGACCCAAGGGTCGGTGAATTTTTTTCTATAGAAAAAAATCTGAGACCCAAGGGTCTGTGCCATTTTTTCTATAGAAAAAAATCGAAGACCCAAGGGTCTGTGAATTTTTTCCTATAGAAAAAAATCGAAGACCCAAGGGTCTGTGAATTTTTCCTATAGAAAAAAATCGAAGACCCAAGGGTCTGTGAATTTTTTTCTATAAAAAAAAAATCGAAGACCCAAGGGTCAGTGAATTTTTTTCTATAGAAAAAAATCGAAGACCCAAGGGTCTGTGAATTTTTTCTATGGAAAAAAATCTGAGACCCAAGGGTATGTGCATTTTTTTCTATAGAAAAAAATCTGAGACCCAAGGGTATGTGCATTTTTTCTATAGAAAAAAATCTGAGACCCAAGGGTATGTGCATTTTTTCTATAGAAAAAAATCGAAGACCCAAGGGCCTGTGAATTTTGAAAATCTGAGACCCTAGGGTCTGTGAAGTTTTTTCTATAGAAAAAAATCTGAGACCCTAGGGTCTGTGAAGTTTTTTCTATAGAAAAAAATCTGAGACCCTAGGGTCTGTGAAGTTTTTTCTATAGAAAAAATCTGAGACCCTAGGGTCTGTGAAGTTTTTTATAGAAAAAAATCTGAGACCCTAGGGTCTGTGAAGTTTTTTCTATAGAAAAAAATCTGTGACCCTAGGGTCTGTGAATTTTTTTCTATAGAAAAAAATCTGTGACCCTAGGGTCTGTGAATTTTTTTCTATAGAAAAAAATCTGAGACCCAGGGTCTGTGAATTTTTTTCTATAAAAAAAATCTGAGACCCAAGGGTCTGTGAATTTTTTCTATAGAAAAAAATCTGAGACCCAAGGGTCGGAGAATTTTTTTCTATAGAAAAAGATCTGAGAGACCCAAGGGTCGGATAATTTTTTCTATAGAAAAAGATCTGAGAGACCAAGGGTCTGTGAATTTTTTTCTATAGAAAAAAATCGAAGACCCGAGGGTCGTAGAATTTTTTTCTATAAAAAATCTGAGACCCAAGTGTCTGTGAATTTTTTCTATAAAAAATCTGAGACCCAAGTGTCTGTGAATTTTTCTATAGAAAAAAAATCTGAGACCCAAGTGTGAATTTTTTATAGAAAAAATCGAAGACCCAAGGGTCTGTGAATTTTTTCTATAGAAAAAAATCGAAGACCCAAGGGTCTGTGAAAAAAAATCTGAGACCCAAGGGTCGGAGAATTTTTTCTATAAAAAAAATCTGAGACCCAAGGGTCTGTGAATTTTCTATAGAAAAAAATCTAAGACCCAAGGGTCGGAGAATTTTTTTCTATAGAAAAAGATCTGAGAGACCCAAGGGTCGGAGAATTTTTTTCTATAGAAAAAGATCTGAGAGACCCAAGGGTCTGTGAATTTTTTTCTATAGAAAAAGATCTGAGAGACCCAAGGGTCTGTGAATTTTTTTCTATAGAAAAAATCGAAGACCCGAGGGTCGTAGAATTTTTTTCTATAAAAAATCTGAGACCCAAGTGTCCGTGAATTTTTTATTATAGAAAAAAAATCGAAGACCCAAGGGTCTGTGAATTTTTTCTATAGAAAAAAATCGAAGACCCAGGGTCTGTGAATTTTTTCTATAGAAAAAAATCGAAGACCCAAGGGTCTGTGAATTTTTTTCTATAGAAAAAAATCGAAGACCAAGGGTCTGTGAATTTTTTTCTATAGAAAAAAATCGAAGACCCAAGGGTCTGTGAATTTTTTTCTATAGAAAAAAATCGAAGACCCAAGGGTCTGTGAATTTTTTCTATAGAAAAAATCGAAGACCCAAGGGTCTGTGAATTTTTTTCTATAGAAAAAATCGAAGACCCAAGGGTCTGTGAATTTTTTTCTATAGAAAAAAATCGAAGATCCAAGGGTCTGTGAATTTTTTTCTATAGAAAAAAATCGAAGACCCAAGGTCTGTGAATTTTTTTCTATAGAAAAAAAATCGAAGACCCAAGGGCCTGTGAATTTTTTCTACTAGAAAAAAACGAAGACCCAAGGGTCTGTGAATTTTTTCTATAGAAAAAAATCGAAGACCCAAGGTCTGTGAATTTTTTCTATAGAAAAAAAACTCTGAGACCCTAGGGTCTGTGAATTTTTTTTCTATAAGAAAAAAATCGAAGACCCAAGAGTCTAGAATTTTTTTTCCGTAGAAAAAAATCTGAGACCCAAGGGGTCTGAGAATTTTTCTATAGAAAAAAATCTGAGACCAAGGGTCGAGATTCCCTTAAGTTTATTCTATATCTTTATTATTTTGATGAAATTCTAATTTTGGTGTAATTCTAAACTTTTTTCATATTCTCTATCCCCCTTCTCCTCCACCACCTCCTAATAAAGTCAGGACATCTTGGCAGGATATGTCATGTGAATTCCTGCTTTCCTGTTTATTTCCAAATATTCATTTCAATTCAGTTCACTAAATTGAATACAAAATGCTTTTTTAATACAGCCATTAGCTATTTTTATCGTCTTCATCATCATCATCATCATCTGCGACAAAAATCCGTCTCAAGACAAGGCGACCAAAGAAAGGGGAGAAGGCATAGCTGCTAAAAAGAATTCTTGTAGACAGACAGTCTGGAAACACTGAGGCGAGAAAATCCACTTTTTTTCCGGAATAAAAAGAAAACTGCCACACAAATAATAACAACAACCAAGAAAAAAGAAATAAAAGAAACTAAAAACGAGAGAAAAATGACAAAAAGACGATTACGGCATTTAGGACACATTGGAATGATGATTGAGTTGTTCAGTTGTTATTCGAAGGCACTGATTCGAGTAGAGCTCTCAAGGGGTGTGAGTATGGGTGTGAGTGTGCATTTGGCAAAAAAGGAAACATTTCATATCCGTTTTAGTGCTGTGTTTTTTCGCCAAACACAGATGTTGGTTTTCTTTGGTTTTTTTTTTTTGTCATTTTTTGGTTGTTGTTTTTTCTTCTTTTCCTTTGGAAGGGCTTTCTGTCGCGTTGTTGTGGCTTAGCTGTTTCCGTTTTACGCCTCTGAGCCCCCGCCATGTTACGAATACCTCATGTGGTTTATGGGTATAACAGACAGGACAATAAGAGATAGAAGAAGAAGCACAGAAAAGCACACACACACACAAAATGTAATACCCCAAAACCCATAGACTTTGTGGGGTCGACCTACAAAACTACACTCTCACATACATACATGGAAACACACACACACATACATAGGTGGGTGTGTATTTCGAAACATTTTTTTTTTTTCTTTTTCAGTTTTTGTTGTTGTTGTTGTTGTTGAACTTAAAATTTAAAAGAATGAATAAAAAAAAAATTGAAATCTATTTCGTACTTACATCGTATTTATTTGGCCTCATTGTACCCATTTATTTTGCATGTAATTTGGATTCGCATTCGGCTACGGTTTGCAGTGGCTACCAGCAGACAACAACATTTGAAATGAAAGAGAGACACACAGACACACGCGCACCCGTACACACACACTCACACTTAGACAATCAAATTCGATACGATTTGGCGTTCCAATTTCCGATATCCAATATCCGATAAAGACGACGACCACGAACACGACCGCAATGAGTAATATCGATGACGGTTTCGAGCGACCGCTACTTGGACTAGGCTGGCGACCAAGGACTAGATCGAGCGTAACCGACGACAACCACGACGTGTTTAACACTCCGAATTATTGCGAAAATTGTAATTTTTCTAAGGCCTCCTTTGGCAGGACCAATGCGGTTTGGTTTTTTTTTGTGGTCAGTGTTGTTGCTGGCCGCCTGCTGCTTCAGATGCTTGGAACTGCTATCAGATTATTTTTTTTAGATTTTTTCACTACCAACTCTTTCTCTTCCTTTCTCGTCTTATTTATTGTTGTTTTTGTGCAAGCGAATCCTTTTTAAGGCCCTTCAATGCCGAATATCTGCAAACACAAATGAATGAAAAAAAGATTGAATTAAATTTTAAATGTCAAAATGGAATTTTCAAAAACAAAAAAAAAAAAAAAACAAGTAAAAAAGCTGTTGGTTCGGCCGGGCCGAAATTTGAATTGTGGACATTTGGAACGAATTCGGTAATTCTCAAAAAACAATAAAATCCATTAAAAATTCTGTTAAAATCTTACAATATCGAATATAGCTGTATATTAGGGTCTATACGACGACATGGACCTGCATAGGTAACTTTTGTCATAAGCCATTACAATATTCAAATGCGAAACTTAAAAACAAAAAATCGGTGAATAATGTATCAAAATACCTAATATCGGGAGGTACCCTTATATGGGAGCTATACGAAGACGTGGACCTGCACAGACAATCTTCTGTCGTAGGCTCTGGTATCCATTTCGAACTTCAAATACCAAATTTGAAACAATTCCGATGAATAATGTAGCTCAAATCATCAAAATTCCGAATATCGGGAGATACCGTTATATGGGGGCTATACGAAGATGAGGATCTGCACAGACAATTTTCTGTGTTAGGCTGTCGTATCCATTACGAACTTCAAATACCAAATTTGAAACAATTCCGGTGAATAATGTGGGTAAACTCAACAAATACCGAATATCGGTAGGAACACTTATATGGGGGCTATACAAAGAAGTAGATCTGCACAGACAATTTTCTGTTATAGGCTTAAGTATCCACTACGAATATCAAATACCAAATTTGAAACAATTCCGGTGAATAATGTGGCTAAACTCAACAAAATACCGAATATCGGGAGGAACACTTATATGGAGGCTATACGAAGACGTGGACCTGCGCAGACAATTTTCCGTCATAGGCTTTAGTATCCACTACGAACATCAAATACCAAATTTAAAACACTTCCGGTGAATAGTGTCGCTAAAATCAACAAAGAACCGAATATCCCGAGATACACTTATATGGGGGCTATACGAAGACGTGGACCTGCGCAGACAATTTTCCGTCATAGGCTTTAGTATCCACTATGAACATCAATACCAAATTTGAAAGAATTCCGGTTAATAATGTCGCTACAATCAACAAAGAACCGAATATCCGGGGGTACCGTTATATGGGAGCTTTACGAAGACGTGGACCTGCGCAGACAATTTCCCGTCATAGGCTTTAGTATCCACTTCGAACATAAAATACCAAATTTGAAACAATTCCGGTGAATAATGTCGCTAAAATCAACAAAGTACCGAATATCGGGAGGTACACTTATATGGGGGCTATACGAAGATGAGGATCTGCACAGACAATTTTCTGTGTTAGGCTGTAGTATCAATTACGAACTTCAAATACCAAATTTGAAAGAATTCTGGTTATTAATGTCGCTAAAATCAACAAAATACCGAATATCGGGAGGAACACTTATATGGGGGCTATACCAAAACGTGAGCCTACATGGCCCATTTTCAATACCAAAAGTTCTGCAGACATAGCATATATTTGGGTAAAATTTTATCAATCTACTTCAATTCGTTCGGAAGCTATAGTGATTTCCACTGACGGACAGGCGGATAGAGGGACAGACGGAAGGACATCGCTAAATCGACATAGAATTTTATGCTGATAAAGAATATATATACTTTGTGGGGTCTAAAATGTATATTTCGAGGTGTTAGAAACGTTAAACAAACAAGCTTAATATACCCTCCATGTGGTGGAGGGTATAAAAAACAATTCTTGTTTGAAATTTTTCAAAAAAAAAAAAAAATCGAAATAAACAAGTAGAAATTTTTAAAAATTTTCGAATGACTCTCGATGGTTATATAGAGAACCAGAACTCCACATGAAGGGTATGGAGGCCTTTTAAGAGTATTTTTAAGATTTATTTCTCAAGGACATAGGTGATCCTTAATCTTGGATTTTAAATTTAAAATTTTCAAGGATCAAAGAGGTCCTTGTTAATAAATGTTGCAGGACCAAGATGGCTTTCTAAGTGACGATTTTTTAATGATACTCGGAGGACTTATATGGAACTCTAAATTTATATTTCAAAATTACTTTTGAAGGTTCTAGACGACCTTTGAACAAGAATTTCTAAATGAAATTTTCAAGGTCCTGGATAAGCCCCTAAATATGAGATTAGAAAATCCTAATTTTTGAATAACCTAAATATTCTTTTTATCCAGAATTTTTGCATACATTTTCAAGGACTTATAAATGTAGACTTTCATATAAATAATCCCTAAATTATTCAAAAAAAAAAAAAAATGATTCTCTTGGAGTAAAATTTTGTAAAAATATTTTGGAAGGACATTCGACGATTAAGGACATTCGAACAACACATGAAGAGTGTGGAGGCCTTTTAAGAGTAGATTCTAACATTAATTTCTCAAGGACTTAGATCATTTTTAAAACGAAGGATGTATGAGGTCCTAGAATAAGAAATAAGTACATTTTTACATAATATTTTCAAGGACCAAGGGGTCCCATTATAGATTTTGAAATGGACCGATTTTTAAGGACCGATAGATTTTAGAGTGAATTTTTAGAGAGCCCTTTAAGCCCTTTAGGGCTTAGTTAGATCACAAACGTAAATTTTTGGCTATTTAAAAGGACTTTGATGGCTCTCCTAACTTCTACTCTAAGATGAACCTTTAAGGATGTCTTTAGAAATCCATTTTTCCAAGTCATTTATGACATGAACTCTGTAGGTAATTGTAAAGGACTTATATTTTCGGTCATGGGATGGACTTATATTACCTATTTTAAAGATCTTATCCTTAGATTCTGGTAGATTTCTATGGAGTATTTTGAATCACTTCCATAGTTCCTTCGATGTGACATTCGAAAGTAATTTTGAAGGACTTTCAGGGCACCTTAAACGTAAACTCTAGAGGTCTTTTCAAAAAAACAAAAAAAAAAAAATGCTTGTCCCTTGAACATGGCTTTGTACGGGCCATAAGTCATTAAACCCATTTTAGAAGGACCATTGGCCTCATTAGGAGATTTCGAACACATCCATTGTAGTTGGCCGATCAATAGAAGTTTACCTTAAATTTTCAGAAAATTTTCAGGATAACACATTTGCATTTCCCAATATCCAAAATGTTGACCCTTTAGCTCCTTCAAAAACATGCCTAATAACAGCTCTCTCGCACTTACAATATTATATTTATATGTGTAGAATTTCAGACAATTCCATTACAAAATGTGGCTAAAATCATCAAAATACGGAAAATCGGCGGGTACCGCCATATGGCTACACGATAACGTGGCCCGATGTAGCCCATCTTCGAACTTGACCTGCCTGCAGACAAAAGACTGATCTCTGCAAAAATTTAGCTTCCTATCTTAGTTCGTTTTGACTGTAGTGTGATTACAACAGATGGGCGGACAGGGCTGAACTGTCTTAGAATTTTTCGCTGATCAAGAATATTTATATTTTGATAGGTCTAAAATTATTATTTCGATAAGTTACAAACGGAACTTAATATTCCCCCATATTATGTACGATGGAGGGTATAAAAAATGACAATTGAATATATCCAGGTCCTTCCAAAAGTATTCTTAAAAGAATGAAGATTATGTTCCGATTAGCTCTTCAAGATCATTCTTCAAAATTTCTCGATTATGGCCCTGAATTTTTCTAATGACTTAAAAATACACTAGAATAAGCCTTAATGGTACTGAAAAAAGGTCTCAGAAACTTCTTATTTCAAGTACTCTAGGCCGTTCCAAAAACGTTCTTTAAAATTCAGGATAGCCCTGGAGATCCTTTGAAAAATAATTCCATAAAGATTACGAGCTAACATATCATTCAGGAAAAATTCACAACTGTTGTCCACAAGGTCCTTAAAAATATTCCTAAAAATTCGTCATTGTTGCTCGGCAGGTTCTTAACAAAAATTAGCTTAAAAATCAACGATTATGAACCCAGAATATAGCCCGGAATGTCCTTTTGGTCCTTAAAAATTCACAACCTTTTTTAATTAAAATATATATAAATATTTCCAATAACGCCCTTAGAGGTCCTTGAAAATGTATTCAGAATCCAAGGCTATGACCATGTATGTCCTTCAAAAGATATTCCTTATAAATCTACGGGCGAAGATCCCCAAACCCATAATCACTGTGGATGTTTCAAAAAAACCTTCTTAAAAAACTCGAGTCCTTGAAAATTTAATCTTTAAAAGACCCAGAAAAAGGTTGTATCTTTTTTCAAATATAGCCTTAAGAATGATATGCAATTATGTCCCGTCCCACAGGTTTGGCTTTATACTAGTCTAAAAAGTCTCAAAATTTTTTCATATCAAGTACTCTATTTTAAGTACTCTTTAAAAATTCACGATAATAGCCCAGGAGATCCTTCAAAAAATATTCCTTATAAATCTACGGGCGAAATTCCCCAAACCTATAAACCTTGTGGATGTTTCAAAAAAAAAACTTCTAAATAACTGGAGTCCTTGAAAAATGTGGTTCTTTTTCCAAAAATAGCCTTAAGAATGGTATGCAATTACGTCCCGTCCCACAGGTTCACCTCTACACCAGTCACTGCTCTCTCTCGCTTGGTTTTTCTTTTCAAATTAATATTCAACCTCCGCGTCCGTCTGCCTTGGCCGAATGTCCGAAAACCAAACAAAAAAAAAGATAAACAAATAAACGGTGCTGACCCATATTTGAAGACTACTTTTATGGCAACGGCACCTGTGTCACACCTACTACACCCCTAAACAAATACTCGCAAGTGCACCCATACACACAAACACTCCTATACATAAACGCAACTACTCTCATTGCATGTTCATGACTTGAAATAAAAAAAAAAAAAACGAAAAATTGGTAAGAAATTTAATTGTCCCGTAATAAGACCATTAAATTGTTTTGTGTCGTTTTTTTATGGTGCGACATAAACGTAATGAATAAATGAATGAATGACGAGAAAGAAAAGAAAAGGAGGAGAACTTCCAAACATGACAATAACAAATAGTTAGGAGACATA